GCGTTGCGGGAATATCTCATGTCAGTATTTTAACATACTCAGGCTGTAATGAAGAGTGTGTGATGTCATTGTTGCTTTTTACTGAAGACTTAGAGTCAAAGATCTAGTGAAATCTAATGGGGTGGTTGTTTTTTCCTCAGATAAATAAGAAATTGTTTTTAGTGAGAACAGATCACACAGATTTCCCTGTGTGTCTTTACCGTGGCTCCTATAGCGCTGTGTTATCTGCAAGCAAAGGCCCTGTTCCTGGGGTGGGGGGCTGAGGTTAATGACTTACAGGTGTTTAGTGTCTTTTAGACTTGTCCTGCCAGTAATATCATAGATAATACGTTTGTTTTCTAAATACATTACATGGATTTTTATTTTTTTTTTACTGTTGCTTAATGTCAGGTACTTTAATATTCATAGAAACGAACCATCTGGGTACTTTGATACTTTGAGATAACTGCGCTCCTTGGTATGCGTCCAGATCCAGGACTCTTAATATTCCCAGTGCATGTATAGTAGTTCACTTGTGAGCTTTCATTTGAAGTGAATGAATGATTTTCACTGTGAAGAAGCCTGGGAACTACACTGGAAATAGTTTAATCTGGACACCTCTGTGTTCTACACTGTACCCTACCACTATCCCAGCAAACTTTGTACCCTGACATCTTTCCATGCTCCTTTTTGCCCCTCCACACAGGGTATGTAAAGATGATTATATCCTCATGCTATAAAAACACCCCTCTTCTGGCCTGACTTTCATGCTCTTTCAAGGTTCTCGACTACACTGCCCCACCTCTCTGATTATTTTCTTAGCAGCACCATAGAAGACCCGGGTCAAGTGCTGCGTAACACGGATATGGCATGTCTGCTCCAAAGGAGGCTGGTAACCCTGAGCGCTGCAGGCCTAAGCTACTCGCCCCCCCTTGACCCATGGCCAGGGGTTAATCTCTGGTGCAGATGTCTTTTACAGCGTGGATCCACTGATGGCACGCTAAAGATAGACATTGGGTACTAGTGACCACGAGACATACTGTGACCATAAGATGGCAGATTTTTCATCCTGCCTAATGGGCACTATGACTCAGTTTGATCTGCAGTGTCCCTATGCCATTTTCATATTTCTCCCTACTTTCACTCTGCATGCACTCCGGTGGTGCATCTTCCTCCTGAAGAGTGCCAGCCTATATAGGTTAACTTCTAGGTCCCTCATGAGAAGCCATATGCAGTTTTTCAGAGGGTTGGGGTGGGGGTTCTGCTCTAAGCACACTGAGGGACAGAGAAATCACCAAACTCTCTGTCTGGCAGTTTGGAAGTGTACGGTAACAACCAGCATGTACACAAATAGCTCCCACATATTCATGGACTGTGTGTTGAGGAATAGGGAGGTGTGGCAGAAAGACTGAGACAGGTTCCACTGCCAAAATAATCAAGAGAAGTGAATAGTTTCCAAGGTGTTCATCATTCCCTAAATTGTTTTCTTTTTTTTTTTTTTTTTTTTTCTGGCATCAGCAGAGCCAGAGATCTTCCGAGAAATCCATGTGCCTTTATTTTGATTTAATTCCTCTTGGTGCGGTGTGGTGGGGAGGCATGACAAGTAAAGCTGCAGTGTAGCAAAACACAGAAGATCACTTTTCATTTACCACGTTCTTATATCCCAAACTGAAAAGTAGTTAACATAGAATCCAAGATTAAATGCCAGAGAGGGTTTTATACCATGTATGAAATGGAAATCCATTTGTTTAGAGGAAGAAAACGCAATTCGCTGAAGCTTGCTGGATGTGAAAATGGCAACTAAGTGGTTTTGAGTATGTCTAAGTGTTTGGGTTTGTACTATTAACTGAACAGTTGAGCCGAACCTTTGAACATTCATTTTGGGTTTGCATTTAGGACAAAAATTCAGATTTGTGTTCACTTTCTGTGTTGATCATGACATACCACTTTGCAGTAGATTTCATCTATGGTTTAAATATTGTCTGCAGAACCCCATCCGTGAACTTTTGCTTGTTTGTAAGACTTGAATTCAAGAATTACTGCAGATGACTGGCTGGACAATGCTGTTGGAGACTTGAGGATTTTTGGACCTAGTTCTGATTTTATTGTAGACATTAGCACTTCTTATGTCTGGATATTGTTAGATGGGAGGAAGAAAAGAGTTTTAGGTATAGTTAAAACCACAAAGGCAAGTAAAATTATCAAGCTGATGCTGCGCTGGTATAATACAGTAGGAAGGAACAGTTTTGTATCTCATATGTCTCTCATAATAGCATCACGGAAACGAGGATAGGATATAATGTTCTCACACAAGCATGACTTGCCTTTTTGTCTAGTCCTGTAGCTTAACGAAGGCATTGTTTGTTCCTGTTTCCATTGCCTTTTGGGGGTGGGGTGGGGAACGTGATGACCTCCATTTTCCATTTCTATCATACAATATAAAATGAGAATATTGGCATTTGATGGTAGGCTATTTGCTGATAAAATATATTGGCCTCAGTAGGAGCACCTCTGTAATTTGGCAGGCAGTCCTTTCCCAGTAACTGCAGATTGATAAATAGTAACTTGGTTGTCTGAAACATCAAGACAGCAGACTAATCCAGCTTCAGCCTATTCCATAACACAAAGTTGGAATTCCATGGTGCAACTTTATGGATTAAGTAAAACCAAGACAGATTTCAGAGCAAAATTATTTTTTTTTTCTTGTGTGGTATTCAGCCACTAAGTCACTCTTCTTTTATCTCCGTTGACATGTTAATAGAGCAAAATACAATGTGGTGGCTGGTACAGTGCGGTAATGTCTGCTGCTGATGGCCTGCTTTCGGAGCCCATTACATTTGTAGATTTATTACAGGCAGAGTATTTTAACCTGAAATACTCTGTACTGCTTCAATTTGAGCCATGTTGGGTTATGGATATTTATTGCTAATCTGAAATCCTGTCTGACTGGGTGAAATCCAGGTTGGACAACTAATCAGTGAGGCATCGTAAGTGAAGAGCATATGCTAAAGTACTTCCTGCCTGGGTTTTAGTGCGTCTGCATTAGCTTTTGTATGAGAGATGCAGTAAAAGCTTTGTCTTTTGGGGAATCTTGAAAGAAACCGGAAAATAGCTAAATAAAGAAAATGAAGCGGCGCAGAATCTGAGTTGAAGTTCAGCACACAGGAAGATGTAGCTGTGAGAATGATTTGAGGGTAGGTCCACACCTGCTGTAGTGAGAGATGGTGGAGTACCATCATGTCCTGCAGCTTCCATGCTCCAGCGGCTGTTACTTTTCTAAGCGATATCACTTAGTTCACTGTTTTGTTCTCAGCTGGTATTTGGAACTACAGCTGCTCCTACAGCAGTAAAACTTAGCCATGAGAATTCCTTCGCGTGCTGGTATGGCCAGTCAGTGCAAACAAGAGCATTAGAAAGGTCACCTTGTTCACAGGACCAGAACTGGGCCACAAGCGTGTGTTTAACTACTGCTGTGCCTCGTGAGAGAATCCCTGTGAAGAACCCTGAAGGCACTCTGTGCCCCCACTAATCTTTTTATTTTAAAGGAGTGCTTTACAGACGGGCTGATTTTAAAATCTCAGTTTCTGTAATCGCTCTAATCCACCTGTTGAATGTAGCATGTTCTGGACTTCAGTTGTCAGGAGTAGGGAAACTGGGTTTCCCTGTGTACCCGAGTGCACCCTTGTAATAAGTTATGTGACTAGCAAAGAATCCCCCCGTCTAGCAAGAAGGGGGAGGAAGATATTTTTTGACTATTCAAACTCGCAACCATATTAGACTATTTCTTTCAATATGTTTCGTTTTCACTGCTCTCCTGTTGGAGTTGGCAGTGGTGGGAGTTGCAGACAAGGCAGATTTCTAGCTCGGCTCAGGGGTTTCAATTGGGTGTTTATTAGTATATCCATACCCCCTGAAACATTGCTTCCTCAAGCAAACACAGCCTTGTTGTCGTGTTAGGAAACGTGTGAAGACAAGGTTTAAAGGTTTCTGTTTGTTTCTGTTCTGTAAGGATCTTGTATCGTACTTGTTATCAGTAACGCAGCCGCATTTATTTGTCAGTGACTATGGTAGCAGGAGAGCGAGCATCAGGAAACCTCTGTTCTCGCCTCAACTACTTATTTTGTGAATTTGAGTAGATAGTTAAATTCTGTATCTCAGACTTCCCATTCTTTACCTGCCTTTTAAGTGCTCTGTGATGTGCAGATGAAAGATGCTGCACTGATAAAGAACACAGATATACGTTCATGCAAATCATGGCAAGCTGGGCACTTCTGCTCAGCTCTTGGAAAGCTGACCGGTCAGCTGTTGCTGTTGCCACGTTTGAGCCTCCCTATTGCATACCAGTAAGCATGTTCTCTATTTAGTGCTTGAGGACTATGTTAATATTTCAACAATTTGATGTCAGTTTTGACAAGGGGCTGAATCAAATCGTAATTGTTAATTACCCATTCTTATTAAAGCATGTGTCTGCTGTGTAATATCAGCAAGATAACAGAGGTCAAATACGCTGATTACACTGCCTCATCATTCTACAGATCTATCCCTTTGTTACGCATCCTGAAACAAGGAAGCATGAAATCAATTATAAAACACCATTTTAAAATATCGATTAATTCTGTTGTAGGTGCTGGAGAAATCCTATTTCTGCCATTCAGTAACTGAAAGGGATCAGATAAAGTCCTTCCTCTTGCCAGCACAGGAATATTGCAGCTGCAGCATGTACTGCACATGGTATTTCTCACCTTCTAGAAAGCACTGGAGAGAGCCTCTGTTTGGGGTCTGGTATGAAAAACACTTAACTCCTTTATGATCCCTTATCCAGGACTTCAAAACTTGCCATCCTATTTGGTATCTTTTTACTTGACATGAAAAAGAATGGGAGAATGGAAAATGTAAACCTATGTTCCTTTAATACTCTGAGGTTTTGTTTCATGACTGCATAAAAACTATTGTTTGGAGATTTATTTTTTTTTTGCTGTTGTGTAGCACTGTTCAGGGACAGTTCATGTTTTCTCTTACAGAATATTGATATTACCAACTTCAGCAGCAGCTGGAGTGATGGGCTTGCCTTCTGCGCTCTGCTGCACACGTATTTGCCTGCACATATTCCTTACCAGGAGCTCAACAGCCAGGATAAAGTAAGTTTTGTTATACCTGCTCCTACACCATTTGCAGAATTCGTGGTGAACTTTATCCATTTTGATGAGTATGTGGTGGAGACACTGTGTTGCAAGACCTTGATTAATACGAAATAAGTAGATGGGAGCAACAGTAAGAGACGAGTGTCAGTTGAGAACTTACAAAGCAAACAGGCTGGATGGAAAGGGGAATGAAACCAACAGTGAGCTCCCAGAGGAAATGCAGGGACTACTGGATAAAAAGTTAGTGACAAGTTGCCTGAATCCAATGAGTGCTGCAGATAAACATGAAGACAGCATCCCTTTTGAAAGGCCAAAGCGTTTCTGGACTCCTGAGTTAGCAGCATGCATTAAAAGTGCTGGATCAGTAGGCAGACAGATCGTTCATTGAACTACTTGGACAGCAGTGTATCTAAAAGTCAGACCATGTCAGCACATTCCAAATATGTTAAGACCCTCACAAAGGGGAGGAACCTGGATTTACTACAG